AGCCTTCAGTCCTCTCAAAAGTGTTCATTCAGTAACGTGGGTCTTGAAAGCGAAACCTCATGCTCCGAGGCAGTGAGATGGGAAATGTCGCCTTCAGGACAAGGTGGATGTGGCTGTCTCGTGGTGACGAGGTTGAGAACGCATAGTTCAGTGGAGATTTTTCACACACTTGACATTGCGTGGACGTGAAGAAATGCTGTGTTGCACTCAACGTGTGGGCTGTGACTGAATCAATGGTGTGCTAGTGGGTGGCGTTTGAGGACGACTTTCATGGTGTGAAGTGTGCTGCTGTCATCAGGCTTTACCTCGTGCCTCCTTCTCTCCAATTGGCGACGGCAAACGACTTCTTCCATTACTCACCACACACATCCGCACAACCAATTCGACATAGACGATGAAGGTGACACACTTGCGGCAACCATCCAACATGACCCTCTCTTCACAGAGGCGAGTCAGTGGTAGCACCTCACTCACCTCCTCTCCACTCCGTGCCTTGCAATGCCCTCCTGCCGCCACATTTGGAAACCTCGTCAGGAATGTCGCTTCTCACGTGAACATTCAATTGTGATCCCACTTTGGAATCTGTGGAGCACTCAAGCCCAAATGCATTTGCTCCTACAATTGCTGAAGTAAGTCTACGACACCGAATCACACTCCTCACCACTTTGAAGAAAGAAGCACTGCCCTACGGCATCGATTGCAAAAAGTGTTGCCAACTTATTCGACAGAGTTAGCCGATGTTCCACACCAGGGAAAAAACAGGGTGAAGAAATGTATCACTGAGGTTATGGGTAAGGTTAGGCCAGAGGATTGACTACATGTCCCATGAAGGCGGGCACACCAGACGCCGTGACAATGAAGAAGATAAATGGATGATCTACAGTAAAATCTGGGCCGGCGCAATCGAAGGAAATGGCGACTTCAGTTGCTGCTGCTGCCTCCACTCCTTCCTCGTTCACCTAAAGACGACGGCAAGACTTAGCAACGGAGTAAAGTGGGGTAGGGAAGGGAAGGCCACCACTCACCTCAATCACAGCCTGGTGGAGTATCCTTGAGATGTGCAACCTCTCCTTCTCAGTGATGCGAGAGAAGTCAGCTCCACGAGGGTCGAACACACTCTCCAATCCCATGGCGGACAGCGGTTTCTCCATATCCAGGCTTTCAACACCACCAAGTTTGAATTTGGGCAGATGCAGTTCAACCCTATTTGATTCGTATTTACTCTTGTCAAAGAGTTCCTTGAAGTGCGAAAAGTGATGCGGGTCATAAATCTTCTCCAACAACTTTGGCAAGCCATCCTTTGCGTCGGGCAACACAATAAGCATCTCGTGGCTGTAACAAAGAGAGGGAATAGGAACCGCAAACTATCAACTTTTCCAACACTTCAAACTTAATGGCTGCGAAGGCTATGGAACATATCCTAAATATCTTTTTTCTATAATAAAATTAACCTCCATCAACTAGGCGGAAGGCTACATTGACATCAAGTCTCGCCTCGCCATTCACCAACACAGAAATGTTCCGCCTCCTGTTGCCTTGCACGTAACGGTACTCATTTGATCCGTAAGCTAACTTTTTTATCTTTGTGGCTCCCATGCAGTCAACTTCTGCCTACACCTCACGCAACTCGATTTTGATCAGTGTGGGAGACAATTGTT